GGACACCAGAGCAAAGCCGTCGCCTGGGCGGCTTTGCTCGTTTGCCCGGGAGCAAAGCCGCCCAGGCGGCGGCTTTGCTCCAGTGTCCCTGGTCTGCTGAGGGGGGTCCAGCAGCTTTGCTGGACCCCCCCAGCAGACCAGGGAGACCGGGAGAAGCTTTTCTCGCCCTGGAGGACACGGGTGGCGACTTGCCGCCCGTGAGCTCCTGAGCTCCGGGGCGAGAAAAGCCCCATTCGTAAGTCGGATCCGCATAAGTCGGGGACTGCCTGTATATATGCCGTCATGTGTCAACAATGCTCCTCTGCTATGTACATCAGAGAAACTAGACTGTGTCAACGCAAAAGAATAAATGGACACAAATCAGACATTAACAATGTGCTATTTAAACTTTTGTCTTTTGGGGGAGGGGGACTTAACATCTTTGAATGAGAATTTTTTTTTTTGATGCTAGTACAGACATAACCAAAAAGTAAGTGCATGAGAAGCTGGGAGTCTGCCAAACAATCAATGGGGTTTACTGGAGGAGGTGCTAAAGGAGCACTCAAGGAAGGTGAACCTACTGCAGAGAAGCTAAATGATTTCTTTGCACTGGTCTTTCATGATAGAGGATGTGGAGGAGATCCCTATATTTAAACCATTCCTTTTAGGTGAGCTATCCATGAAACTGTCCCAGGATGAGGTGTCAATAGATGGTTTTTTAGGACAGATTAGTAAATTAAACAGTAATTTGTCCTTTGCATCCAAGGGGAGCCATGGGAAGTGATGGCTCAGCCCGTTCTCCATGGCTGCAAAGGACAAAACAGAGCCAATGGGAGTCATGAGGTTCCGAGGCCATGGCGCCCGTAAATAAACAAACGGGGGTGGCCAGTTAATGTGTTTCTCAAAGTGATTTCATGGCACACTTTCAGAAACACTGAGTCAGAAATAGCATGCCACTGTATAAATTCATGGTATGCCCACATCTTAAGTGCAGTTCAGGGTACTTCATCTTTAAAAAGATGTAGAGAAAGACAACAAAGATGATTAGGTGCAGGGAACAGCTTCCATATTAAGGGAGATTAAAAAGACTGAGACGTTTCATCTTAGAAAAGGAGATAGCGAAGTGGAGATACAATACTAGTCTATAAAATCATGAATGGTATGGAAAAACTTAATAGTGAATTGGGTCACCCAATGACGTTTCAAGGCAGGAGATTTACAGCAAAATAAAATATTTCCTCACACAAGTTACACTTTTGGCCTTCACAACATCTCCCAGCCAGAAATCGTGACTAGATAACAGAGGATGGGCCACTCAAAATTGCCTGTACTGTTTGTTCTGTCTGACACTGGCCAATCAGAGGACATCATACTAAGCTAGATGGGCCATTGATCTGACCTAGTATGGCCATTCTTACATTGTTTCCTTATACTCCTTAAATAACTCTGTTGGTTTCCTATTTATTGTACAATTCAATTCAAGAGTGTCTTTCTTTTATTTAAAATCCTTCAAGAGCTGACTAAAGCCTGTGTTATGGGTCCATGTTGTCTTATTCTCCTCTGAACCGGTTGTCTTCATGTCTTGCCACACATTTTTGCCACTGTCATTGTCAAAACCCCTTTTCTGCAGCTGCTAGCTGCACCAGAGTTCAGATATTGTCTTTCTTCATCATTCTCCATCTCATTTCAGTCTTCTCTGAAAATGTATCTTTCCCCACTTCTGTTATCCCTTGATTTCTCTCTCTCTTATTAGAGATTGTCTAGTGGACACTGTCCTTTCCTCTTCATCACCCTTTCTCTTCATTCTCCCCTTCTGTCCACATTTTATCCCCTTCTGTTCCTTTTCTCCTGATCTTTCTTGGAAGTCTTTAGAAGATGTTGGTTAGCACTTCAGATTAAAAATAAACTGCAAATATTCACAAACTGCAATAGCAAGATTGGTATTCAGAACAGAATTAATTTTAAACTAGTGGTTTCTTCATTTTTTCATGCTCCCACACAGCTACATCTTGTGCATTCATTTGGCTTTTTTCTCCTCAATAGTGTTCCTACTCTTCAGCAGAAGTATGGTTTTCACTTCCCACTGCATGGCAGTCATTTTGACATATACATCTAAATCATATCAACTTTCTTGACATGTATATGATGGAAAATATTCAGGAGTTGGTTTAATTTGCTTCATTTAAAAAGTTTTTATTTAAAAAAAATCTTTTGTGATCTGGCATCAGTCAGCACTTACATAGTTATTTTTGGGTGATGGTTTCCTCTCCCATTGTCTTTTGATATTACCATATCTGTCCGATACCATATATAAATAGTGAGATTATGGCTGTATATTTGCTGTAATCTGCTGCAGGTCCCTCAGTAATCTGCACTGTTCTACAGGTTCTTCAAGGCAGAAAGAGTGCTTTCTGATGGTAATTTCTGTAGCACCCGCAAACTTTTTGTAGAACTTCCTTGCAGTATTCTGAAGGAAGAAAGATTATTTTTAATTTTGTGTGTAATAACACGAGGGCTTGACCGAGCTTGGTGAACTGTTGCATTGCATGACTGGCTTTTTTTTTTTTTTTTAAGGTTTGCATATGGTATTCTGGAAAAATTCTGATACTTCCGCAACATGGAATTTTAAACTCAACACCATGATTATGCTTGGCTATGAAAAAAATGTTTAATAGAATAAGTCTTAATGTTTGGTTAAACACCTGAAATATACTGTATTTATAAGTCTGATTTTTTTCACTGAAAACTACTAGTAATATCAGTAAACTTTTCTCTGGTCAGTGCTGGGATACAAGTGACAGAGCAGGCTGGACCTGGGCTATCCAATGTACAAAACAGACAAGGCTATTGCAACTGCTGCCATGTACACTACAGCAATCTTGAACAGGTAAGACGTGTTTGTTGTCTTGTGGATCAGTGATAATCAAAAACAGGAATCTGTTTTGTCTTCATCTGCTTTTGTGTTGGGCTATAGATAATATAGAGGTGTCCCCCTGTTGGGTTTATTATTTCCTGAACATCAGAAATTCAAGAAGTTATTTTTCCCATCCTCATTTGTAGAGACTGTTTACAAAGCACAACAGATGCTGTTAAACTTACACACAGTGCTGGAAGCTCTTAATTATGCTTCAGTTCATTAAGATGCTTTAACGCAGGCCTAGTACTAAATTAGGTACATACTGAAGTACCTTCCTGAATAGAGGAAGTCCTTAAAGACTAGAATAGTAGGAAAAATTGTTTTTCAGTATTTGTCATTGCAACATGGAGAATTTGGAACTTAGAAAATGAAAGCAACCTGCCTGGATAGGTCCCTGTGTCAGTCAGGGTAACAAACTAGTGATCTGTTTTCTGTCTTTTCAGCATGTTTTCAGTTCCCAGCACAGACGTTTCACCATGAACTGCAGGAATCGCACAGGTACCACTAGCCTGATGGAGCGTTTCCTGCAAGATGTTCTGCAACATCATCCCCACAGATACCATGATAACAGGTATAATATACACAATGGCTTTATCGTCCTTGATTGCTCCTTTTTATATCTCAATCGTCTAGGGGACCCACTGGTTTTTTAGCAGGCTTCCTGCTTCTAATGTACTTAAAAAACATTTTGCTATTGCTTTTTGAGTTTTTGGCTAGCTGTTTCTCAATCTTTTTTTCCTTTTCTTATTACATTTTTACACTTGATTTGACAGTGTTTATGTTCCTTTCTATTTATCTCACTAGGATTAGACTTCCACTTCTTGAAAGATGCCTTTTTGTCCCTCACTGCTTCTTTTACATGGTGGTTAAGCCACAATAACTCTTTTTTTAGGTCTCATACTATGTTTTTTAATTTGGGGTATACAGTTAAGTTGGGCCTCTGTTATGGTGTCTTTAAAAAGTTTCCATTCAGCTTCCAGGGATTTGGCTCTAGTCACTGTGCCGTTTAATTTCTGTTTAGCTAACCTCATTTTTGTGTAATTCTCCTTTTTGAAATTAAATGCCACAGTGCTGGACTGCTGAGGTGTTCTTGTTAATTATAATATAATATAATATTATAATATAATGTTATTATATTATGGTCACTATTCCCAAGCGGTCCTATAATAGTTATCTCCTGGACCTGATCCTGCACTCCACTCAGAACTAAATCGAGAATTGCCTCTCCCCTTGTGGGTTCCTGTACCAGCTGCTCCAAGAAGCAGTCATTTAAGCCATTAAGAAATTTTATCTCTACTTCTCTTCCTGAGGTGACATGTACCCAGTCAATATGGGGATAATTAAAACCCCCCATTATTATAGAGTTTTTTATTTTGGTAGCCTCTCTAATTTCCCTTTGCATTTCAATATCAGTATCACTGTCCTGGTCAGTGATATATCCCTACTGCTAAATTCTTATTATTGGAGCATGGAATTACTATCCATAGTGATTCTATTGAACATGTTGATTCATTTGAGATTTTTATTTCATTTGATTCTACATTATCTTTCACATACAGTGCCACTCCGCCACCCACACGGCCTGCTCTATCCTTCTGATATATTTTATATTCCGGTATGATTGTGTCCCACAGATTTTCCTCATTCCACCAGGTTTCAATTATGCCTATTATGTCAATCTCCTCATTTAATACGAGGTACTCTAGTTCACCCATTTTATTAGTCAGATTTCTAGCATTTGTGTAGAAGCACTTTAAAAAATTGCCACTGTTTATTTGTCTGCTCTTCCCTGATGCATTGGATTCCTTTGTATGCGGTTGTTTGTCTGCTCTGGCCCCTTGTTTGTCCTCTCTCCTCCTCTCTTTCTGACTACAGCCTAGAGAATCTCTATCAGTAGATTCTCCTCTAAGAGAAGTCTCCCATCTAATTATGTGCATCTCCGCACCAATCGGCTTTCCCCCACCTCTTATTTTAAAAACTGCTCTACGGCCTTATTAATGTTTAGTGCCAGCAGTCTGGTTCCACCCTGGTTTAGGTTGAGCCCATCCTTCCTGTATAGGCTCCCCCTCTCCCAAAGGTATCCCCAGTTCTTAATAAATCTAAACCCCTCCTTCCTGCACCATCGTCCCATCCACACATTGAGACTCCGAAGCCCTGCCTGCCTACCTGGCCCTGCGCGTGGAATTGGAAGCATTTCCGAGAATGCCACCATAGAGGTCCTGGATTTCAGTCTCTTTCCTAGCAACCTAAATTTGGCCTCCAGGACATCTCTCCTACCCTTCCCTACGTCATTGGTACCTACATGTACCACGACCACCGGCTCCTCCCCAGCACTACACATAAGTCTATCTAGATGCCTCGAGAGATCTGCAACCTTCGCACCAGGCAGGCAAGTGACCATACAGTTCTCCTGGTCATCAGACCCAACTATCTATGTTTCTAACAATCAAATCACCCACTACTAACACCTGCCTCTTCCTAACAACTGGCGTTCCCTCCCCTCGGAGGTATCCTCAGTGCGAGAGGATACCGCAACTTCCTTTGGAAAGAGGGTCCCAACTACGGGATGGTTTCCCTCTGCTCCCATTGAATGTTCTGTTCCCTTGATACTTTCATCTTCCTTAAGAGCACTGGGGCTCTCAGACTGGAGATGGGACAGTACTACAGTGTCCCGGAAAGTCTCATCAGCATAGCTCTCTGCCTCCCTTAGCACCTCCAGTTCAGCCACCCTGGCCTCCAAAGCCTGAACTCGGTCTCTGAGGGTCAGGAGCTCCTTTCAACAGGTGCACACATACACCACCTGCCCACAGGGCAGGTAATCATACATTTTACACTTGATGCAATAAACAGAATAGCCCCCAGTCTGCTGCTAGGCTTCTGTCTGCATTATTCCTATGAATAAATTTGATCGATAAGGTTTCTAGTTAAAACAGGACATTTTTATTCAAACCTTTAAACTAAACTATAAAGACTGGCAAGAGTACCTTGGCCCCGTCTCACTCCCCTTCCAGACTCCCTGTTCGCAAGCTCCCTGGTCGCTGACTCTCTCAGCTTTATAAAGCCCTGGCCTGCCTGGTAGCACCACCACCTGACTAAGGCTCAGCCAATTAACAGAGACTTCTAGATTTCAAATCTTTAGAAGCTCACAGATTCCAGCTGCCAGCAACAGCACACACTCCTTCAAACAAACCAGCCAACCAACCAAACACAAGCTCAGCACACAGCAAGTAACCACCCCACACACAAATACACATTACAGACAGCCACTTACCTAAAGGGTCCTGTATTTACTCCTCCTTTACCTGGAGAACTCCCTCTCAAAACTCCCTGTTTGCTGCTCCTGTTCGCAGAATTGGAAATATATGCCTTTGTTACAACAGAAAATGGAGTTTCGTATCTTTCAGAAACAATAGCTACATCTGGAAAAGCCCACACAACAGAATATTAAAAGAAGTGGCAGTGAAAGCTGTAATAAATTGTGAACAAAAATTCAACTGTCATGTGTACAGTTTTGTCACAGACAGTGCTGCAAATATGAGACAATACTTAGAAGAAGAAACGGAAAGATGTTCCTTAATAACATATGGCTCCAGTGCCCATTTAGTGAATTTTTTAGCTAAAGACTTAGTTTAGTATATGTCTTCTCTGCAAATAAAATAAAATGTTGTTGAAATTGCTAAATACTTCTGTAACAGCTATATTACTTCAATTTCACTGAAAAGGATCCAAAATAATTCTCCCTCAAGATGGTTGAGGGAATTCTGTGGTTGATTGTTTTGAACACTTTGTTAAGAATTGGTCTATTCTCATAAAACTCTGAAGCAAATCATGATAAAATAAATGGAAGTGTCTCATCCAAAGTATTGAACATTGGATTAACAAGGAATGTAGAGGACATGCTTAGTATACGGAAGCTTATATTCATAGGCTTAAACAAACTTCAGAGAAGTTGCTGCTGCATTGCTGATGTTGTGGAAATTTGGAAGGTACTTCAAGACATATTACTTGAAAAAATGCTTCATCAGAAAGATGAACTGCAGGCAATAAAGAAGTGAATGGATCAAGTATTAACTCCACCTCTTTTTCTTATGAACATTCTTGACCCCAGATATAAAGTTAGATGCCTAACTTCTGAAGAAGATGACATTGCCATGGCATAGGCATCTCAAAATCACTCATTAGTTATGCCAGTCATAATAAATTTCAGGGCAGGAGCAATAACCATTTAATCAGTACATGTTTACTGGTGATGTTTGAAGCAAAGTCATTCCCCTGAATTGATGGAAAATCATTAGCTTGACACCTTGAAAGGAAGCTTCCTTTGCAGTCACAGAGAGAATATTTTCTTGGTTTGGTATAATTCACTTTAGGCTAAGAAGTGGACTGGGAGTTGAAAAAACAGGAAAACTCATATTTCTATTTCAGTCTATAAATCAAAATGACAGTGGGAGTGGGAAAGATGAGAGCTAGTTGTAGAAGTTTTAAGAGCACTGTACATTTAGTGTTCTGAGGAGTTGGCTGTTAGAGTTAATAAAATTTGAAAATTAAACAAAAAAAAGTTTGACAGCCACCAGTCGACAATTCAGGAGACTGCTACAATTGCAGATGTGAAATGTTCATGCAACATTTAAGATTTAGTTTAATAAGTGCAGTTATGTTTGTGTGTGTGATTTAGTTCATTCCATCCCTAACACACTGTTGCTGCATCTGCAGCTTGAAACAGATAATGAGTATTATGTACTCTTAGCCTTGAGTGAATAATACCAAACAAAGAAAATATTTGCTCTGTGACTGCAGAGGAAGCTACTGCTGTGAAAAGTTGTCTTACCAATTGAAGGAACTCTGTTTCATGGTGCCTGGCTAATGATTTCCACTCATTTTCTAAATTAATAACTTTTTTTTATCTAAAATGTTACACGAAGTATTCCCTCCTAGATTTTGTAAAATGCTGTTTAAGAAGTATCAGTGGGAAACTAGTTAAATGAATGATTTTCTCTTGATTATTTTAAATAGTGATTTAAATCTAAGATTTAAATTGCCTGGATTTAAATCTATCCACCCTGTGCATGTGATATAAATTGAAAGCAAGCAACATATTAAACTAACAGATATTCATAAACTCTTACCTCATGCACATCAACTGTGTACAAACTAGAATCACAGTAAATTTTTAATGCATGTATTGAAAGAGTTCAGATATATGTCGCGTTGACTATGATAAAGGTACTTTGTGAATTACATAGACTGAATTTTTGCATGTCAGTGTTACCTGAATATATGAACTTTCAGGGTAATGGGCAAAGTTCCTCTAAGCTAAGTGGCCACACAGCTGCCTACTAAGCCCTGCCCATTGGCTTAGGGCTGCCACATGCAGAGCCGCTGCAGCCCGGAAAGAGATGCCTTTCCCTGGCCACGGCAGATCCCTGCTGAAGCTGGAGGAGCATCACTCCCACGGCCATGGCAGCTCTTGCCTGGGGCTGGGGTAGTGTACCTCTCCCCCGGTCATATTAGCTCCCTCCTGGGAAGTAGCTGCCAAAGCTAGTGGAGAGGAGCTCTTCTAATTCCAGCAGG